TTGGAATTACAATCCTCAATTACAATTCTATGACTTGAATTCCGTGCACTAAATAGAGCTAGAGGGCCAGATCTGGACTTTTTGCCTTCTTCTTTTTCAAAAAAACTCATTCTAAATTTAAAAATAATTATAGCAACTTTTTAATAGTTATTTACTAAATTATACTCCTTCCGTCCTAATTCCATCTTCCCACGTTGACTATGTGCCATTTTTAAGGAAGTGTAAAATATGCATTGACTTTTCCAAAATGCCCCTAAACTCGTCCACTTCACCCAACAATGCACAGATCTAAAAACACTCTAGCTACCATTTTTCGGAAATGGACTGCAACAAAAATAAATTCACATCATTGAAGAAAAAAGAAATCTAAAATAAAATATGGAGTAGAAAACCAAAAGTATCGTGCAAACAAATGAGAACGGATGCAAAGCCAGATTTGCAGCCACCGCGAGAGAAGCCAGATTTGCAGATTTGCAACCGCGGAGAGAGAGAAGCCAGATTTGCAGTCGCGCGAAGCCAGATTTGCAGCCACCGCCCACTGCACAGCCGCCAACGAGAAGCATCGAAGACATACCTGACGCTGCTGACCAATATTAGCCAGTGAAGAGGAGAATTAGATCGAGGATTTTTGGGGGGAGGGAAGAGAGACACAAAGGGTTGATTGAGAGATGAGAGGCGGAGGATGGCTGAGGCATTGGGGAGTATATGATGTAGGGGTATAATAGTCACTTTACACCCTTTTTTGTGAGTGGGAAGGTAGTTTTAGGACGGGAAAAGAAAGAAAGTGGGAAGATGGTTTTATGACTGAGGGAGTACTTGTAGTTTTTGTTCAGAAATTCTATCAACATATTTTAGCTAACTTGGAAATTTGTGAACTACATGCTCTTTACGTCTTAATTTTAGTTAGCATATGAAATTTGATCATCGAAATTTTGTGACTTGCAACGTATTGGCTCCTTGTGCGTATAGGACACGAGACATCCTCTCTAAACGTCATATTAAGATAATATCATGATTTACTTTCTCACAATTCTACAGATTGGTTGAGTGGTGCCCCTTGTTTTTAGTCTTTTGGGGGCTTTCCATTTCAATCAAGGATTACTAGAGCCATTACGGAAACCTAACTTGCAAAGGTCCGTCTTCGAAAAAACCTTGAACTTTTCGTGGACAATTTGACCCTACTCGTAACATGCGAAAGCCAGCAAACTTGAGGCTCAGATCTGAGCATTTTGCCTCCTACTTTTACAAAAAAAAATGTTCATTCTAGAAAGCTAAAAAGAAGAAGTTCCAAGGAGTATCAACTTTATAATGTTGTTTTATTCATAAGTTTTATCAACTTATTTAGCTAACTTTGAAATTTGTGAACAACATATGCTCTATAATTTTAATTTTATTTAGGATATGAAATTTGAGAAGTCAAGTTTCTCAACTTGCAATGTAATAGCTTCTTGTCTGTACCGTACACGAGACGGTCTCTCTAAAGACTACATTATGATTAAAATCTTAACTAAACATGGAAATAATTTTAACTAAACAATAAAAGTTTTAGTTTTAGTTTGAACATTTTAGTTTAACTCGTGTGTGACAATTAAAGTTTTAGTTTGAACATTTTTCTAAACTTAACTAAACATGAGAATAATTTTAATTAAACAATAGTTTGATACAAACCCTACTGTAGTGGGACTCAACTAGGTTGTTGTTGTTATTGTTGTAATAGTTTGATACAAAGAGTCTCGTGATAATAATATTAATATAATAATAATAACAATATCAATAATAATAAAAAAATAATAGAAATAATAATAAATATTGACATATTGTTTAATCATTTGTAACATTATTATCATTTAAATATATGTAATAGTATTATACTAATTATTACGTAGTAGTAAATTATATAGAATTATAATATTACATAAATTAATTGTATAGAAATTATTATGCAATAACAGAAAAATATTAACGTTATTTTTTAATATTTTTTATCTAATTTAATCTAAAAATATTTTTCTTGATTGGTTTGAATTAGATCTAAATTAATTAGACTTGATCAGGTCTGATCTGATTAGGTTTAATTTGATATGATCTCATTCAGGGTCAGTCCCAAGGATTTGGTGGCCTTGCACGAGATAAAAAATGGGCATTGGCCTTAACAAATTAAATTATGTAAACAATTTTATATAAAAAATAATATTATAATAATACACTTAGAAAATTATAATATTATACAGAGTAATTAAATAATATTATAATAATACACATTAGAAAATTATAATATTATACAAAGTAAAATTTTATGGTTTAAAATTTTTATTAAAAATTAAACCATATATACTCAATCTGGTCATAAAAAATATCTTTTTTTTACTTTTTTGGTCAAATAATGACATTTTTTTTATCACAAATTGTGAAAAAATATATATATATATTTTTTTATAAATTCAGTATAATTAGGTTCATCTTAGTTTATATAGCATTGATATATCAAATTTTTATATCATTTATTTATTTAGATTATTTTTAATATATATTCAAAGATTGTTACTCTTTAATAAATAAAGTCAAAATATAAAAGATTTTTAAGACTGGAGAGAATATAAACTAAAAATGTTGGCCCTACAAAAAATTTGATCTAGAGGAGAAGGATACTTTGGCCCATCTTTGAATCAGCTCAGACCAGATTTTAATAAAAGTAAGTATTACATAATAAGCTAAAAAAATAAATTGAATGACTAAAAGCCCTCAATTGCTTGAGTTTTTTTATGTTACTTTAAAAAAATCATGTTTATTGTATTTTAAAATGGAGTTTGTGCACCATAACTACCTCCCTTACAAAAGCTTTGTTCACAAAATTTGAAAAAATATATACTTTTAAATAAATTAAAAATATATTGTAGAGCAATCTAAAATGTAAAAGTGAAAATTTTATTTTGAAACAATTTATGCCTCTTATATCCCATTTTTTTTACTTATAGATTAAAGTATTTTTAATTATTTAAAGAAAATCAGCTCTTTTTTTATAATTAAATTAGAAAATCAACCCAATAGTGTTGGTTTCTTTGATTTATCCATGCAAAAAGTAATTACGACCAAGGAAAATATAAAAGGTTTTTTTAAAACGAAGTAGTTTAATTACACTTTTTCATCATCCGGAAAACGGCGCCGTTCGGTTATTGCGCCTGTGCGCGCATTCGGGCGTGCGATCGGGATTTTTCCCGCCGGCCGCCGTGATCAGAAGGACGGCACGACGCCGTAGCCGTGGTCGCCGGAGAAATCAGCGGCGAGAATGGCCTCAATGTCGACCTCCATCTCCGTCTTCTTGGCGAATCGGCCTTTCACTCTCGGCCTCATCTCCGCGTAAGCC